GTGCCAAAAGCACAACATCTCAATCATTGCGTCCATACATCAGCCCAACACAGATATACTGCAAATGTGTGACAAACTCTATGTGTTGGCCAAAGGGGGTGAGTGTGTGTATTGGGGCCCTCCCTCTTGCCTCAGCCCACACTTACACACATGTGGTATAGAACTGAACGAAACTCAAGTACCGATCGAAACGTTGATTACAATCGCTTCCAAAGGACTGAGCGATCAAAATGTGCGGCAATTGAGAGACCAAACGATCCGTCAATTCAATAGTGAATTTAGAGATATTATCGTCGAAAAAACGAAACCAAAACACATTAAAAGTAACAATAAATCCTTTTCACTAAAAGACATTTGCATTTTAACCCAAAGATCTTTGACTGAAATATTTTGCTACAAATGGAAAGGACTGGCAATTAGTTCACTAATTATGATATTAATTTCAGTCTTGATTTGCAAATGTTGTGATAAAAATGTCGGCCAATATAGCGATTGTATTACAATCGGTGGCACCGATGATGACAACAATCGGACCTCATGTCTGGATCAGTTTGACTTAGACAATAAAATTATGGATAATATAATGTTAATTGCAACTTCTTTATGGTTAATATCATTCATGCAAATTATTTGTACGATTGCTTTATCATTGGATTCGTTCACCAGATTTAATACCGAACACAGAAATCGTAAAGTTTTACATTTTATTATTATTTTATGAAAAATTAAATTTATATAAAACAAAATTATACCCAATAGACTGGTATAGCTCTGGCGTATATTTGTTGACACAAAACATATTAAATATAATTCCCGTTACAATCAATGGCTTAATAGTAGCCGTAATTGTATTCAATATGAGTTCACAATTGAATGAATCAAAAAGATTTTGGCCTTTCGTTTACTTTTATGTAATTTCATTGCATATAAACAATTCAATCGGATATTTATGTTTATTTCTGGTCTCAAACACACAGTTGTGTTTTGTATTGGGATTTATGATAGCTAATATAAACCAAGTATTTAATGATAATGCCATCTATTTAAACGATCTTGGTGGTATAATGAACGCATTAGGCATTTTATTTCCATCACGCTTTGCTAATCATGGTCTAGTTCTTAGTACTTATGGCCTCGATCGATGCGCCCATGGTCAAGTGTCTAAGATGCTGTTTCAACGAGATATTCATTTAAAACATAATGATCTTGTTGCTAAGAATATGTTATATTTATTAATTCTATGTATATTCTATAAAGTATTGACATTGATTATTTTGTTGGTGTTGAAAAATGGACATTTATTTAAAAATATTGGTAACTTTTTAAAACATACTTTTATGAGATATTTATGTGTTAAAAATAATAGTGATTTAAATAACAATAATATTATAGAAATGCAATCATTTGATAATAGAGATGAAAATAATGAAATTATTAATTGTGACAATAATTTGCAAGAATTTAATAAATATATTGACGAGGAATTGAGTTTACATTCGGATAATATAATACAATCTAAAGCATTGAGTATCGCATGGATTGACTTAACACTAAAAGTGGACAAAACATTGTATTCATCTGAAAAAGTGATTTTACGTGCGATTAAAGGGTTCGTAGAGTTGGGCTCTTTGACCGCACTTATGGGTCCGTCCGGTGCGGGAAAGACATCACTATTGCGGACATTGAATGGCATTAATAAGACATTGATTACCAAAGAATCAAAGATTTATATAAACACTTCGGTGCAAATCAAGACCTGTTTTATAGCTCAGGACCAAAGGGAACACATTATGTCAGGACTGACCACAAGACAGGCCATCATATATGCGTCTAAACTCAAGAATACGGACACCAATTGTGCTGTCGATCACAACTCCATTGCCGACCAATTGATGTCTGAGTTGTGTTTGACTGATATTTCGACCATAAATGTGGAGAAATGCAGTTCTGGTCAACAAAAACGGATTGTAATAGCGATGGAAATAACGGCTCAAATCAAACCAAACCTCATATGTGTTGACGAACCGACTTCTGGTGTTGACAGCTATTCAGCGCTTTTGGTATAAAATATTTTTATACATTTATTTCATTATTTATTTAAGTTTTAAATTTTATTTCTACTAAAAGATGATAAATGGTTTCAAACGGTTGTCTCGTAAACACAATGTATCGATCATCGCATCCATACATCAGCCAAACCTCGAAATCCTTATGTTATTCGATATGTTGTATATATTGGCCAAAGAAGGGGTCGCCGTATACTCGGGTCCGCCCCGGGGTTTGCGCTCACATTTAAGTCAATGCAATATTCAATGCGATGAAAATCAAATACCAATTGAAGTCATAATCAAACTATCGGCCAATGGATCCAGTGATGAGAATGTGATGCAAATGTGTGTCAAAACAAATGAAGTAATAGAGAAATACATAGAAAAGATACGGACAGAACTGGACATCTCTTCGCACGGAATTGTCATTCATTTCAAACACTTTTCTATCACTGAATTCGTATACCTATTGTCGAGAGCCGTCGCAATCATCCGCCGACATAAGTGGCCCATAATATTGATTATAGTGTTTATTAATATCTCGTTTGCGTTGTTTATTAAGATTTTGCTTAACTATTCATTAGATTCAGCGGACAGTTGTGTAGCAATCGGTGCCAATGGGACCGATGTTTGTAAGCAAACTACGAGTCGTTTATACAGCGACAAAATGATCGCATATAATATGTCTTATTTGTTTTTTGCTATTAATGTGCCTTTCGTGGTGCAAATCTTCTTCGATTGCGTGACCATGAGCGATGATTTGCCCTTGGTCATTCGACAGTGTCATAACTGTATGTGTATTCTAACCATATTTAATTCATAACATTATTTTGTGACGGGTCCTGATTTGGCGGTCCATAAAGACCTGATCAATTGAAAAGCTGACCTCACGAGTCAGCAACCGTTTACATGGATCGCCAAATACAAGATACGTCACACTGAACCTAAACTGTCCAACTTCTCTTGGGTGAACTTCTCTTGGATGCACACCTCCTCATAATGAACGGTTTTGAATTTTATGCTGCATTTGCTATACTTATAATGTTAAAATAACCTCCCTCAGGTAAACTTATCCATAATGAATACCTCCCCACTATGAACGGATTTATAGGGATTAAGATAAAACTTTCACTCCCAATAATGAACAAATATCATAATATAATAATAAGCACGTTAGTAGAGGATAGCTAAATCGTACATTAAATCTAATTTACATAATTAAAAAAGGATTATTTTAATGAATAATTAAATTAAATAAAAAACTAAACTTCTAAAAAAATGTTGCACAAACTAAAACAAACTTTAAAAACTCTAGACAGTGACCCAGACATGCATACACTCAATGCAAACACACACAACACACAAATTCCTCTCTCACAGCAGGCGAACAAAACGGTCGATAGATTAAGGTAAAGCCAAAAATCTCTCTTTTGCACTAAAATACAAATGTGAGGAGAAAATAAATTTTTTCAGTAGTAGTAGAAAAATGTCAACTCATGAACAAACTTAGACTTGAAAATCAAAATTATACTAACATTTGAAACTTAATACAAAATATTTTTAAATTCAAATATAATATGCAAATTAGTAATTATACGTAATAATTATACAAAATAATGTATAATTTGCATAATAAGTATTTTTATTCAATAAAAATAATGAAAAATAAAAACAATTGATTTAAAAATGCAGAGCATAGGGACAGTCTCGAACTCATAGTCTATCCCTAGGCGAATAGTGAGATACATGTTCTATAGACTACCCTACGCTCAGCACTTAAGTATACGTTATTTTAATAGTATATAATGTTTGTATAAAATCAAAAGCAAATGAAAAAATGAAGAAATGTAATAGTCTCGAACGCTTGATATTGGCTTCGACGACGTGAATATCCAGCGCCTAGACTAATACACTTCTTCAAAAACATACATAGTAGTTAGAGTATATAATGTTAAACATGTAGTTTAAAAATATAGTGAATACAATTCCAAAAGTTGATGAAAATATTTGATATTAATGTTGTGTTGCTCCATTGCAACTCTCCCCTCATAAATAAACATTACACATGGTTTATTATTACAAGCGAGTTTATTCATAGCATATGAAGCAAGTGGGTCGTTGACATCAATAGCGTATGCAATGCGTGCATGGTGTCTACGAGAGTGGTTGCATCGCGAGCAATGGCGGCCACTAAGCACTGCGACCATATCGACTTTAAATGCAATATGTTGTGGGTCGCCCGAGTCGTAGACAAGAATGATAGAGTATGGCTCATTATTAAACAATTCATCAAATCGTACCTTAAACAATAAACACCTTAGCAAGTGATAAAGCAATACATAATCGGTACTCACTTTCGATAATACATTATAACACGACATTCTCAATACAAACACTTTGACATAATCTCGCAATTTCTAGCGAAATGGTGAACGAGTGTGGTGAACTGTACCATACGAACGTGACCGCTCTTAATGAACACAACCGATGGAATGGCGTGCACTTTTGTTTGAGTCATAATCTGGCGGGCGAGATCTGGGTAGGTGAGCGCATCGATACAATAGGCCGGGTAATGGTGGCGAAAATTACCACAGTTGCAAACACTCAATCGCAACGTCTCGTCGATACCCGACTTAAAATGCAAGTGCATGTTCTCTTTCGAGCTGTATATCATGACAATCTTGTCCTGCAAATCATTGACCTCATTCCACCGTTCCTTTATAAGCACATATTACGTTTAATATTGAACAATAATTTAAACTTAATATATACTTACAATTGTCGAAATTGTCTCTATAACTGAATCACTCATTGTTATCGCTGTGAACACTAAAAGCAAATGGCTCGCATTTGGGCGCGGCAGCTATTCGGTAGATATCTTACATCATTGCGCGCGCGCGAATAATAGCAAATTTGTTTTGTGTTTTAAATCAAAGTTTTATTTTCAAATTTTGAACGTATAAAATACATTATACTGGAAAAAGCCGTGCAGGTACAATAGTCCCTTGACTTATTTAGCCGCCGCCGCCGACGGGTCAATGAGTTTCACTAGCGCGTTGCGATCCATGCCATACATATGGTCGACGACTTCGTCCAACAGAACGATCACAGTGGCCGGCACCTGGTTCACCTTATAGTCCTGACGGATCTCGACGGCGTCCTCTTTCGAGACGTCCACCCCAATCACGCGCACATCAGTGTACTCACACGTGAAGAATTTTTCCATCTCGCCGAGATAAGCCAAATGCGCGGGCACATTGCCATCATAGAAGAAGACCACCACACGGTCGGTGCGGTGTTTCTTAATTAGGGCGCGCACCTTATGTGAATAAATATTTTTAAAATATATTTTATATATTTTAACAAAACATTTATGCGCATACCTTGTCTCGCTGAGTGACGGCGGGTGGTTGAGATGATTGCTGTTTATCCATAGTTTTACGTTGGCTTTTTCGTCGTAACCTAAAGCGCAAATGGTGGCTATCACACAGAAAGCACTCAGATTTATAGCCACTAACACCAACACACATGCGCTTTGGTGGTTAGAAACAGTAACACAATACCGCATATTTCATGAGAGAAATATTTATTTCAAAAATATAATATGATCTATTAGTACATTAATAATCATACATTAAAAATTCCACCAATCGATTTTCGTTATAGCCGATAATTCGAGCTCTTATTTCGCCGTCGCTTTCTTTCTCAATAATTGGCAATATTGGCGGCTTGTCTACCCACTCGGCCACATCAACGCCAGTAAACACTATGTGTTTAGTATACTTCATTGCTTTCATTATATTTAACTTGTAGACGACTTGTTCGGCATCACGGCTATCGTAATATATGGTAATAATTGTGTCTAATTTTTTCAACCAAACAAAATGTTAATACAAATAAATTAAACACATTAAACATGAATACCTTCTGTATGAAATAATAGTCGAAAACAGCAGAGCAAACAATTGCGATCTGATCCGAACATTGTCACAACAGCATCTGATACTCTAGTATAAAATTACAATCATTTTATACTCTGCGAAAATAATTAAACACATTAATTTAAAAGTTTTTTTAAAATTATTTATTTGTTTAAACATTAAATCAAAGTTTATATATGTATCAAAATGACGAAAACAATTCATCAATTTTGTCGTTATCAATTCCAACCACGCGAGCCGTGACACGACCATTGGTTTCGACCACAACCACTGGAAGAAGCGGAGGCGGCGGTTGTAATAGTGCGACATCTACTAACTCGATCTCCATGTCTTCCATGTCCACCATATTTATACCGCGTGCATAGTCCGTTTGATGGCGATCCGTCGTGTCGTAAAATACTGTAACAACTCTGATCTGGACTTCAGCTATTAACGGGACTTCAGACATGTTGTTAATACAATTTATAAAATAGAATTGAATTGCTTTATACATACGTGGTTCTCTGAATGCGGCGATCAAATGCTTTTGTCGTTCGCTTAATAGCGGAGGCATGATGGTACGTTTTAGGTTAGACCCTTGCTAACTAAGAGAAGACACTTGCTTTTATACTCGAGAGACCGACGTTATAAACAGGTTTTGCGTGTTTTTTACGAACAATAATGTCGTTGACATATGGGTCACTAGTAAATTGCGATAAAAAGTCGGTCAGTGTATACCCAGTGCACCTGTACTTCATATACAGTACACAATAGTAGCCGCAGGTTACACATTTGACACATTGTAATTGAGTTTCATTTCGTGTCGAAATACCAGTTGAATTGCTTGCGATGAATTCGATGAACTCTGAGTGGAGGGGTGGCAGACCGTACGGATCAAAGTACTCTACACTCCCGTCGCTGTTTTTATAAAAAGCAACCCAATGCTCGCCTGGCTCCTCTCGAGGATCCGTATTTACAATGAAACCAGTGTTTCGTTTAATTTTAAAATGTATTTCATTTCTGGCAAATGTTCCTAAATAATTACTCATACGACTGAGCAACGAGTCGATGATATCGCAATCCATTGTTAGTAATTTTTAATCGGCACTCTGTCCGCGCCAATTAGTATTTGATTATTAAATTCACAAAAGAATAGCATATTTATAGGATTAGGAGTCTGCCGGTTGAATTGAACCTCGAAGCGCACAACACCATCTTGGGGAATGGATGTAAAACCGGCTGCTGAGCAGCAGTCACTACCATCTGGCGTCAGATCGAAGCCGTAAATTGTATGCCCTTCAGTATAATTATCTAAATTCACTCTCATTCGATTACTGTAGTCGTCCTGGTTTACAGTTTGACACAAACCGAGATATTCTCGCAAACACATTCCGGTTTCGAAATCAGGTCTATACTCGTGACGCACACCGTTTACAAAACATATCAAATTGGATACATTATAGTGCTTATAATAGTAAGGATTCTTGCTATACGATCCGTTAAATGCATCGTTATCTACAAATGCCACAAATATTTTTCTCGGAATTTGTCCTGTAATTACATTTTCAATATTTTTATTCGTCACACCCGTATCAATTGTATGCGATCGCACCTCAAACCGGTCAATGTCATATCTTGCCGGCGCTATGCTTAATGCCTTATTGTGTGCCACGACCAAGTCGTCAGAAACAATACATTTAGGCACAATTAGGTGAACGTCAGTGAACTCAATTTCGGGTCGTAGATTTAGGTCGTTCAACATAAACACAAATTCTGGCTTATTTTGAACAAATTTAAAATACAATTTTGTGTTTCCCATTAAGTATTTAAATTGTCTTAGTAAATCAATATGAAGACGTCCGCAATACTCTACACAAGAACCTGTATTTGATGCAAAATCTCGCTGATGACATATTGCCTGATCCAGTGTTAATTGATTATGTTGTTGAGAAGCTAGCATGCGCAATGAATCACCAGGTCGGGGCGCGGGAGGTGGACCACCCCCACCACCAGAGGTATTGTTACTAGCGATCTCATTAACATTAGGAGTTCCATTGGCGTTCAGATTTGCATCAACGAT